AAAAAAAAAAAAAAAAAAAAAAAAAAAAAACCGCTTCCTTTGTTCATTCATAAGAAGCAACTCTTATCCATTCAAGGTTTGTCATGAGGTTGCAACCATTCAGTCACGTGTTCAGGCTCCACTCCACCTCTAATTCCAGTTCTCTCGCTGTTTCCACCACATCTGTGGTTACTTCCTTCACTGAGGTCTTGAACCCCTCAGAGTCATCCATGAAGGTTGGAATCAACTTCTTCCAGACTCCTGCTCGTGTTGATATTTTGATCTCTTCTCCTGAATGATGGATGTTCTCAACAGCATCTAGAATGTTGAATCCTTTCCAGGTTTTCAGTTCACTTTACCCACATCACTGTCTCTGGCAAATATAGTCTTAACGACACGTAGCTCTTAAATAGTTAAGACTTGAAAGTTAAAGTTTGGTCCACGGACTGCAAAATGGATGTTGTGTTGGCAGGCCCGAAAACAGCATTAATCTCATTGTACATCTCCGTAAGAGCTCTTGGGTGACCAGGTACATTGTCAATGAGCAGTGGTGTTTTTGAAAAGAATCTTTTTCTGAGCAACAGGTCTCAACAGTGGGGTTTAAATATTCAGTAAACCATGTTAATAATTGTGCTGTCATCTAGGCTTTCTTGTTCCATTGATAGGTAAAGCACAGGCCAAGTAGATTTAGCACAATTCTTCAGGGTCCCAGGATTTTCAGAATGCTAAGTGAGCATTGGCTTTGACTTAAAGCCACCAGCTTCATTAGCCCCTAACGAGAGTCAGCCAGTCCTTTGAAGCTTTGAAGGCAGACATTGATTGCTCTCCAGCTATGAAGGTCCTGGGTGGCATCTTCCAACATAAGGCTGTTTTGTGTGCGTTGAAAAGCTGCTGTTGAGTGCGGCCACCTTCATGAGTTATCTTAGCTCGATCTTCTGGATAACCTGCCGCAGCTTCTGCATCAACACTTGACATTTCACCTCTCACATTTACGTTACGGAGATGACTTCTTTCCTTAAACCTCCCAAACCAACCCCTGCTAGCTTCAGACTTTCCTTCCGCACTTCCTCACCTCTCTCAACCTTTACAGAATTGAAAAGAATCAGCCTTGCTCTGGATTAGGCTTTGACTTCAGGGAACGTTGGGGCTGGTTTGACCTTCTGTCCAGACCACTGATCGTTTCTCCACATCAGCAATAAGGCTTCACTGGACTAGCACTTTTCCTTTCCTTTGAGAACTTTTCCTTAGCATTCACAACTTGGCCAACTGGTGCAAGAGGCCGAGCTTTCAGCCTGTCTCCATTTCTGAGATGCCTTCCTCGCTAAGCTCAGTCGTTTCTAGCTTTTGGTGTCAAATGAGAGACGTAAGACGTCCTTTCCCTTGAACACGTAGAGGCCATCGTAGGGTTATTTCTTGGCCTAATTTTAATATTGTTGTGTCTCAGGGAAGGGGGAGGCCTGAGGAGAGGGAGAAAGGTGGGGGAACAGCTGGTTGGTGGAACAGTCAGAACGCGCATAGCATTTATCAGTTAAGTTTGCTGTCTTAAACGGGCTTCGTGAACGAAGTCTACAGTTTGTTTGAGCTCATTTTTTTTTTTTTCCACTTTATTACATTTCCTTTAAAAACTATTTGGGTTAAATAGTCGAAGAACTTTTTCCTAAGACTATATGGAAGGTAAGCTGTGAGCCATGCGCATACGAAAGAGCCTTTATTTTTCCCGTACACCTGTTCAGTAATTTGAGTGTAGAGTTCTAGCTTCAAAACAATCTTTCCTCAGAATTTTTAAAGCCTTACTCTGTGTTCATCTGGCATTGAGTTACTAATGTGAAATTTGATCTTAATCTGGTTCTTGTTCCTTTGTGACAACGTGGGTTTTCTCTTCAAAAGTTTTAGCATTTATTTCTTTGTCCATGTAGTTGTGAAATTTTTCAAGTGTGGATTGCTCTGAAGGTACTTCTTTACTTACCCTGCTCATTAGTACTTGGTTATACCCTTTCAGTACAAAGGCTTTTGCTTTCCTCAACTCTGAGAAGTTTTAAAACTATTATTCTTTCTCCCTTTCTGTACCTTTTTTCTGTTCTCTCTTTTTAATTGCCTATTGGGTGGAGGTTGATCTCCAGTATTGAACTTGGTTTTTCTTCATCCACTAAGAAACGTGGTGCCAGAGGGGCTCAGACTGTTGAGCATCCAACCCTTGATTTCGGCTCAGGTCATATCCCAGGGTTGTGGGATTGAGCCCCCCCACCCCCACCCCCGTCTTGGGCTCCATGCTGAGCATGGAATCTGCTTAAGATTCTCTTTCTGCCCCTCTCCCCTGCTTGCACGCTCTCCAAAATAAAAAGAAAATCTCTTTGTCTTTTTGTAATTAAATTTTTTTGTTTGAGGGGCGCCTGGGTGGCGCAGTCGGTTAAGCGTCCGACTTCAGCCAGGTCATGATCTTGCGGTCCGTGAGTTCGAGCCCCGCGTCAGGCTCTGGGCTGATGGCTCAGAGCCTGGAGCCTGTTTCCGATTCTGTGTCTCCCTCTCTCTCTGCTCCTCCCCCGTTCATGCTCTGTCTCTCTCTGTCCCAAAAATAAATAAACGTTGAAAAAAAAAAATTTAAATTTTTTTGTTTGGTTTTTAGTTTCCAAGAACCCCTTCTTTTTCTCTTACAGTCCCTTCTTCATGGGAACCTGTTCTTTTTTTTTCTTTTCTTTTCTTTTCTGCTGTGCTATCTTTTAAATATCTTTGGATACGAAGTGGAACCTTCAAACATTCTCTTCTGTTCTCTGAGTCACCTCATTTGTTTCCTCTGAAGTCATTTGGTCTTTTATTTATCTTGGTCTCTTTTGCAGATATGCTCTTTGGTTTTCCTCAAAGATCTGGTGATCTTTATTAGTCCCTTTGTACTTACGAAAGAGTGACTACATTTAAGAAAGAGCGAATACGTTGATTGGTAAAATAAATGGCTGGCGTGGCTTTTCTGATCTTGTTATTTGGGGATGTTTCTCTAACAGACCTCTCCCCTGAATGGGAAGGACCAGTAGGGAGTCGAGTCCAAAGGTGTCTCTGTCATGTGGCATCTTCATTTTAGGGTTTGTGGGCAAGGAGCAGGGAGCAGGCAGTCTGACCTCCCCTCCCATGTCCCACCTGTCCCCAGGACACTACAAGAAGGGCTTGGTTCTGAGGTGCTCACACCATGCAGGGAGCTCTCCCACTTTGCTTTTCTACCTTTAGCCTAGTCTTTCTGTGTGCGGTGGGGCTGGGAGGGAGGACCAGCTAGGCGATGGGGTCTGGCTGTGCTGTTCGTAGTGGATCTGATCTCCCTGAGTGCCACTCACCACCGCCTCGCTGATGGACCTGAAGCCTCAAGCCTCCTGATGCTGCACTGAGAACAGCTAGCAGGATGTGGCCTCCGCCTGTCTGTATTTTGGACTGTGGTTTCCTGTGGTTCTTCCCTGCGGTGATGACATCACTTCCCCTCTTCCAGAAGCCAGTCTGCTCTCCTCTTCTCAGTGATGTGTGAATGAACTTCTTTTCTGTGCAGCATCTTGACTGATATTTTAATGGTGTTTGGGAGGGAAGAGAGTTAAGCCTGTGAGCTAGTTGTCCATCTTGAACCAGAAGACAATTAGGTATATACTCTGGGCATGCAAGTCTTATAATGTTTTACAGAGTCAGTCCGTGGTTTCTCCAGTTCTTAACCAAATATGTATTTTTACCAACTCAGGCTAGTTCTCAAAACAGTAATAAGTTAGAGGTGGTCGGGAGGATGCTGGTTCTAGTAGGAATGAGAAGTTAAAGCTGGTGTATAAATTGTCGGCAGACATGACAGCGAAAACCAGAGTTTTCTATACAACCCATGTTATCTGAACAGCTCCTGAGAGCAGCACTGTATTTATTACAGGATAATGACAGGAGGTCGAGAGCACGGCTTCGGAGATTGACTAATGGTCTGTGTAAGAGCAAGGAAGCTTCTAGCTTCGGATTTCCATAATGAATGATGAAAAATGAGATTTTGGAGACACATTTCAGTGTCCTTGATAATTAGAAGTATGGAATGTTGGACACAGTGGAGTTAATGGAGTCAGATTTCCTCAGCGTTCATCAGGTTCTTACACTATGCCAGGCTTTGAGCTAAGTGCTTTTCCGTGTGGTTCATTTAATTTTTACAAATTATCTCTGTATTTATAATGCATTAAATCTTACCTCGTGGAATGCAGCTAGATTGAATTAAGTCTCGATGGTACGATTCTGGCCAGTGAAGGAGGTGCTTTGCCCTGAAATCCCACTGCATTACGAGGTTCTGCCCTGATGGATGGGATACAGGTAGCAGTCAGGGCAGCCACTATCCTTGTTCAGGAACGAAGAGGTTGGGTGTGAGCGGGACTGAGCGATTGGATCGTGGTCACACAGCTCAGCTGTAATAGAACCAGTTCGAGAACACGGATGATTGTCTCTGTGTAGGGTTCTCACGTGGTTGGACCCTAGGGCACTAGCATTCTTGCAGGCCCTCTGACTTCTTACGATCTGTGATTGTTGGTTCTCAGGTGCCCCTTGGCTTCGGTGTGGCGGCCAGTGTCCGAGTGGGCAATGCTCTGGGGGCAGGGAATGCCGAGCAGGCTCGGGACTCCAGCATCACCGTTCTCCTGTGTGCGGGTGAGTTGAAGCAGGTCTGCTCTCTGGCGTCCATACTGATTTTTGTCTGATAGGTTACGGTACACGTTTCGGAGTTTCTCTGGGGAATGGATTTATATATATGGCCTCTGCTACAATATTCTTTAAGCCCTTTTCAGGTCACTCAGCAAAATGAAACTTCTCATGGTGATTTTCCGTTACCGGGTACCAATGAAATGGTACACTTGGTAAGACTGAAAAGTCTTCAGATTGTTATCACACGTGGGCTTGTTTTCTGACCAAAGCCTGTGTGAGTGAGTCTCCATATCCCGGACCACTGCCTCTTCGAGCAGTTTTTTTTTTTTTTTTTTTTTTTTTTTTTTCAACGTTTATTTATTTTTGGGACAGAGAGAGACAGAGCATGAACGGGGGAGGGGCAGAGAGAGAGGGAGACACAGAATCGGAAACAGGCTCCAGGCTCCGAGCCATCAGCCCAGAGCCTGATGCGGGGCTCGAACTCACGGACTGCGAGATCGTGACCTGGCTGAAGTCAGACGCTTAACCGACTGCGCCACCCAGGCGCCCCTCTTCGAGCAGTTTTAATGGTTTGGAATCCGAGCAGTTAGAGAAGATTCTGACTGTATAGACATCTCACCGAGCATCTTTTTCTAGGAATGTGCCTTAGACAAAGGAGTCAGAATCAGGACTTCCTTGCTGGTTTCAAGAGACAGTAATAAACACTTGTAATTGGGACATTTCTGAAATCATTGACGCCAGTCTCTCCTGAGACTGGATTTATTACTTGGGAGAGCTGTCACTTCCCGCTGCTGTTTCTGTATTTTCCAGGTGTCTGTGCTCTCGTAGTGGGCATTGTACTCTCAGCGATGAAGGATGTGATTGCCTATGTATTTACCAGTGACAAGTATGTACCCATCTTCTAGAAGGATGTTTTCCGTTTTATGCTTTCTTTTTTCACTGTACTTTTCTGGTTCTAAGAGGTGAGTAGTATTTTGCTTCACGGGAAGTAGGGCAGCCAGCAATGAGAACCCGGGTACTACATTTGAATGAAATTGGACGAAGGAAGCCCATGGGCACTGTCCCCGTTCCTCCAGTACCCAATTCGTTCATTTATCGAACCCCAGTGGCATTTCTCTTGTGCTCAATGCTGGTTCTGCTCAGAAATACCGAGAAAAAGCACATGGCATGTCCTTGTCCCCAGAAAGGCACGTCCCAGTCCAGAGCACGCTGACAGCATGATGCCTGAATCAAAAGGGCAGAATTTATATAAACCACTGACTCAGTCTTAGGTTGAATTTTATTGCATTTGCTGTAACTCTGTGTTTGCGTAGTTATTTAGATATAATGAAGTGTCTTTTGAATAAACCAGATCCTTTTTATGAAAAGGTTTCAGTGATTTGCACTGTTTGCCTCAGATTACTTTCATAAAGAAATTCAGTTGAGGGGCACCGGGGTGGCTCAGTCGGTTGAGCGTCCGACTCTTGATTGCAGCTCAGGTCACGATCTCACGGTTCATGGGTTCGAGCCCCGTGTCGGGCTCTGTGCTGACAGCTCAGAGCCTGGAGCCTGCTTCCGATTCTGTGTCTCCCTCTCTCTCTGCCCCTCTCCCACTTGCACGCTCTCTCTCTCTCTCTCTTTCTCTCTCTCTCTCTCAAAAATAAACATTAAAAAATTTTTTTTAAGTAGCTGATTTAAGGATTTTTCTTGCTCCAAAGTCTGGGCACCCTCAGAGATTAGTCTTATTAATTGCTTTGCTCCCTCCGTACAGGTGCCATACATTCTTGTTTCTTTACATGACTCATATTTTTGGTTGAAAACTGGGCATTTTTTACATCATAATGTGGCAATTCTGGAAATCAGAACCGCCCCCACCCCCCAGGGTTTTTTGTTGCCGCTTGCTGGCTTAGTGGCTTTTATGAACTAATTTGGTGAAATCTGTATTTTTTGTCCAGTGTGGCCACGAAAGTCTCTGTTGCATTAGCTTGGTGATCGGCTAATTACTGGACCAAATTTCCTTAGCTACATGCATCCCACTTTACCTCCCACTCTGTGGAGGGGCTCTCTGGGCGTATATCAGGGCAGCCTTCAGCACTCGGCCAGGCAGTTTACAGCTTGTCCTTCGCCCTCATTTCCTGCCTGTGCGGAGCCTCAAGTTCAGCCAGAGGTGAGAGCTTAGGCCCTCTCCGGTCTTTCTTGAGCACCTACCCAGTCATATGCCTGCGTGTGGCCTTTTAGATTCCCAGGGACGTGTCAGAGCTTTGAAGCCCCTATGGATGTCTCATTGCCCAGCCTTTCCTGCCGAGCTTGTCGGTTAGTCTTGTTTGTGCCAACTCTTATCCAGTGCTTCAGGGAGAAGCACCTAACACATTTGCCTGCAGACATCTCTCAGAGACCAGCTGGAGCACTGGCCAGGTTTGAGTCCGGAGAAATAAAGACAGCGTTTCAAGGGGAGTCTTTTGAGGAACAACCTGACAGGTGGTCTCTGTGCAGAAGAATGGCTATTCCTTGGGAATGAAGCTTTGAAAAGGTTCCACTCCTTCTTCCTCCTCCAGTCCTGGAAATAGGGACTGTTTCTTATCAAGGTTACTGCTGAGCTGGGAGCCGGGGTTGGTACTCAGGTCAGTGGCAACACCACAGACGTCGCTGTTATTACCAAGACTCGGCAGCTTCTCTTGAGGAAGCACTCCCCAGGTCACCGCAAGCCGTCGGTTAATGTCTAGAATTCCGAAAAAAATGGATTCTGACCATATTTGCCGGTTTCTGACAATTTTCTCTTTTTCCCGTGAATGGGTCATGCCTTCTTTGTATGCTTTGTAATTTTATGTTGAGATGACATTCTGAATATTGTAACACAATACCTCTGGAGATTAGGTTCTCCTCCCTCCTCAGGCATTGCTGTTCTGCAGTTGTCCCGTTTGCTTAGTGATTTTTCCAAACCACTTTTTTTTTGTTTGTTTTACAAAGACTATGTTGCTTGTCATGTGTGGTGTCTGTTTTCTCCTCAGTGAGCCAGTGGCCTGGCAGATTTCTTCAAATGCCTTGATCCAATAAGAAAAGAACATTTTTAAAAAGTTCTGTCTCTCTCAGTTATCTGACAGGCACTGCGTGGGAATCGGCCTCTGTGCTGGGCCCGTAGTGAACCGCCAAGGAGATCAAAACCCACAACTCTGACTTTTGGAGCACGAGATCCTTATTGTCCAACATGCCATCAACTAGCCACACCAGGAATGCAGGCAGCCATCCCTACACCTGCCTGCCATGGGACCAGGGGACAGGAAATGGTAGCTAGTCTATGAAACCCCAAAATTCATGGATACTTACTAGGCTTATTCTTCATGAAGCACTGCGTGCTTCAAGTTTTCCACTCGACTCCAGAGTTGTGAAAATGGTTGATTTTGACATTTCTGGCCAGTTCAATCATTGTTTTGGTAAAAGGATTGATTTTTGGAGCTTCCTCCTCCATCAGCTTCCATCATGTCACCTGGATATAGACTTTGCATGCTAATCTGACTTTTTTTTTTTAAATAATGTTTTAGAGGTTTTTATTTTTGAAAGAGAGAGAGAGAGAGAGAGAGAGACAGAGCATGAGCTGGGAAGGGTCAGAGAGAGAGGGAGACACAGAATCCGAAGCAGGATCTGGGCTCCGAGCTGTCAGCACAGAGCCCGACATGGGGCTCGAACCCCCAGATCGCGAGATCACAAGCTGAGCCAAAGTCGGACATT